GTAGGAAGGCAGGTAGGTAGGTAGGTAGGTAGGTAGGTGGGTGGGTAGGTAGGTGGGTGGGTAGGTAGGTAGGTAGGTAGGTAGGTAGGTTGGTTGATAGGTTCTTGTCAGGCATGTGCATTATGTTTATACCGCCGGCGCGAACAGATGTTGTGTTTGCACAACATATGTTTCTATGTCTGTACTGAAGATGAATGCAGAGAGAACAATCGTGTCACATAACAGAAAATCTTACAGCGCTTCCTGCGATCTGCTCGAGGTCGCGACGCTCCTGACTTCGCCGACTTCGCCCAAGCGCAGGCAAAAGGCGCATAGGTCAGCAGGGCTGCCGGGTGACCCGTACACATAGAATAGCGCTATTGAGTGGGTTATGAGGTACCCTCCTATCAGAAGCACATAGCACACCATTGAGTCGGATCACCCCGCGGGCTGTGTCGCTTGACTCCCCAAGTAACTGAGGAATGTTCTCAAACTCTAAAACCCTAAAGCCCGAAACCCTAGACCCTAAACTCTAAAACCCTGAAGCCCTAAACCCTAACCCTATAACCCTCAAGCGTTAAACCAACTAAGGTGCAGACCTCAGCGACGTGTCCGAGAAGAAGACGGCACCTTGGCAGCTGGGGGGTCTAGTGACCTTAATCCCTGAGCCCTAACCCTAAACCGTAGCCCTAAACCCTGTACCCCAAACCCTCAACTCCACACCCTCGGCCCTGAGCCCTACCACAGCCCAGGACGCACAGCAAAGGCGGGCCCTGTGACTTTTCCCCGTACCCCTGTGACACCCTGTGCTTTTTGCCAGGCAAAGGATCCGGAAAAGGATCCGGAAAGAGCGTCCGAGGTACTTCAAATCCTCAGAAATATGAACGCCCCAGCGTGGGAGGTGATTGCTGCTGTTTTGTCAGAGCGTTGCTCTGTGTGCGCCTTGGCAACCCAGAACCCAGAACCCAGGGCTTATACGACTAAGGCAAGATCGTAAACCCTAGTCCCTAGAAACCCAAGTCCATGGGGCCGCTGCCTGCTTCTGAAGGGGCACCTGCACCTGTTTGGCAGGGAAGTTCAGGAGTTTCGGGTTCAGGACTGTGGGACTTTAGGGTTATGGACTCTAGAGTTATGTCCAAGGATATCGGGTCGCTATGTGCTTCTGCAAAACAACCCAAAAGCCTGCTCCGACCTCAGATGACCACGACGACCAAGACAACCACGACCATCAGGACCAACACAATGACCAGGACGACCAGGTAGTAAATTTCATCCGTGAGGGTTGGCCTTGGCGGTAATCTGCTGTAGGCATCCTTTCAGTTGTGTGCCAGACTTCTCGGTAGGAAGGCTCACGGGACACTTAGTGGATCCCTATCCATCGTTGCGATTGAAAAAAAAAGAAAAAACTCTCAAAGGCTAAAGATTTTTAAGCCTTACGACCTTAAGATGCCCTAAGACCTTATGAGTAAGACCCAAAAATCCTAAACCACAAAGTCCGCCAGAAACACTCTTTTGCAAAAGAACTTTGGGGCTGGGGCATTGATCGAAAGCGAGCCGGACAGAAATCAACACCCGCAGCCTGCAGCCACTAAACTTGCTCTGGCACGGAAAGCGGTGCACGAAGGCAACCTATGCCCTAAACCCTAAACCCTAAACCCGTCATGTCTACCATGTTGGATCCTGGCTCCTCCAAGATACAAGATCCGAACAAGAAGCTTGTTAGGATGGTGTACTGTAGGGCTTTTAGTCTCACAGCCAAAGCACAGAAATAGAGATCTACTAGAGACTAGAGTATCCTAGGGCCGTTGCAGATAAATGGCGCGATTCGCTGCAAGCTTGGTGTCTATGATTTATGCTTTGTGGCTTTGTGGCACTGGGGGAAAACGATCTCGAGGATATAATGGGAATTTCGATAATCTTCGCATAGCAGAGGAGCAACACTTGCGAACCTGTCTTTTGGATACGTGTGACGCAGAAGTGGCTTCTCTGGTCGATCAGCAGCGATCGCTGAAGGATCTCATGCTTACAAAGCATTTGTCGCTGGCAGAACATATTGTGGGCGTGGCTTTCCTGCGGTTGTCAGCTTCCTACTCTTCGCGGTTGGATGGTCTTAGCCATGAACAACGTACTGTGTTACTCGGATCGTTAGGGTTTAGGGTGGATAAGTAGGCGAGGTTTCCCACAATTTCATGTCAGGTTGGCCTTGCGCAGTCAATCGTTGGCACAGTTGGGATGGGTTTCGCAGAGATTCTGCATTTCATCCGGTTGCCACAGCCAGAGTTTGCCGTGCATCGTGGTGGTGGTGAGAGAGCTCTGACAGAAGGGTTCCAGTTAACCCAGGCCTGTGTAGATCGTATGCTGCAGCAGCAGATGAGAGATGGGACTTCCGTACATGTCCGGGTTAGGGAAGAGCCCAAAAGTTTCTGCGTGAGGGAGTGCAGCAAGAGCACCTGGGAAATCTGCTGTTGCCAGAGGGCCTCGGGCCTGCGGGCTTGGGACACAGTTTCGACACAGCTTTGCAAGTTCCTGTGGGGATTTGCTATTTGATCATGAACTCTGTTTGGCAGACTCTTGCCCTGGCGCCTTCTGGTAAATGGGATACAGATTGTGATGCACTTCCTTTGATTGTAGAGGTCAGACGTGCTGCAAATGCTTGCGAGTTGAAAGGTGAGGAGTTGCAGACATTCGTGCCTGCGAGTAGCCTCCAGCCCACTCACCAGTTCTTCAGCTTGCTCGCGGATGACCTTTGCGAGTGGGGCCGGGCCATCATAGCTGCGTCTTCCCAGCAAGAAGAGACGAGAGAGTCGCTTGAGCAGTACGTTATCTGGTTGAACAGCATGCGGGAGGCTACGGCAAAGAAGCGTGTGATGGAACATGCTTGGGAGGCATCCACAAAAGGAAGGGTTGGACGGTACAATTTGGCGACCCAATCACATGGCAGGTACAGAGCGATTTTTCTCATACAGTGTGTTATGTTGTCATTTCATCTCAAATCCTCTTCTACAGTGGACTTGGCCTTGCAACGGGCGTTTGCTGTTTTGCCTGACATTTGGCAGAAAACGCTTTCTGCGTGTTTCTCGGTTGAATGCGTCCCGTCAGGGGCGACAATATCCCGAGCGAGATTGTACCTCGATGCTGCATTTATGAGCTACATGAGGGAGAAGCATGAGAGGTTGATAGATGAAGAGGCGGTTTTCTTTGCCTTGACAGACAGTTCTCCGCAAGGGTTTCAAAATTGGCTATTGACAGAGACTTTTGGGGTGGCAGGTGGCCATGATCTTTCGCATGCAGCGGAGGTGTTCTTTGATTTAGCTTTCTTGAGCAAGCGTCAGTCCGAGATGAGAGATAACGAAGAGCGGCTCAGTGTGGAAGATCTTCAAAATATTTTGGAGCGGACGGAAGTGATCCGGAGAGCTTTCATGCACCATACCTTCCCACCCACCGGCCTCGGAGTGCGACACACAACATTGTCCCACAAGGTTCACGCGTATCTTCATTCCCTTCGCTTGGAGCACAGTTCTTGGGAGTTGTTGCAGAAATTCCTGAAGAGGACGTTCACATACACTTCCGATATGGGTACTGAAGGATCTTTCAATCTCACTCGTGTGGATGTGCCGTCATACTTTGGCTATTGGCCAGACCAAAGTAGCAACTCGCATTTGGCCCTGGAATTTCAGGATGCTGATGATATTGCGGCTGAAGAGGAAGATGATGAGGGTGGTGTCGGTCCTGTGGCGGAAGCAGCTTCGGCCGAGTGCCATTCTTTGGATCTAAGTTCCTCGTTGTGGGTTCCGGGTATGTTCCACATCATAGACAATGCCACAAAGGATGTTCTTCGTAAGAGCGATGTTTGGTGCTCTGATGTGAAGGGAATGTTGGAGAGCGTTTTGCTATTCTTCAATGCATTCCATCGGCGAAAATGGTTCATTGCGAAGTGCTGTGTTAGACAGTTCCAGGCTTGGTCTGTGTTCTTTGAGGCAGCAGCTCCCAAACTGGAGGGAGGACGTGCCTGGGGAGTAGTCTCGGAGGGGATGTCCTGGGTGTTGGAGCGCAAACTGATGCTCCAGCAGGCTTGGTCGGCCGATGCATTGCTTCAGACCGGTGCACCAGCAGAGGAGAGCGATCGTGCAGACCCAGGCGAGACGACGAAGCTTGTGTCCCGGGTAGATGAGGCCCTCAACAGTCCGGTGTTCTGGGCATATCTGGGCGTTTGCAGCTGTATCATTGATATCCTTGATAGGGTCACCAGCTGGACGCAGGGGTGTGCTTGTCATGGCTCTCATGTCAGGGCTCAGCTTCAGCCCTTGCTGCGTGGGCTCGGCCCGCTATCTTGCCCAATGCGGGGGCGTAGAGCGCCAGAGATTGTCGAGGGTGCACTTCACAGGTTCATTGATGGGCTGTTTCAATTCAACGATTCACAGGTGACGCTAGTCCATGTTGCAGGCTTGGAGCAGGACTTAAAAACTCGGTTGATGTTGGACTGGAGTGCGATGAAGGTGCACTTACGCATGCAGTTTGATTTGAAGCTTTCATCTTGGAAGCAGCTTCCATTAAGCACCCTGGCCTTGGGCCACTTTGATGTTTCTGTTGCTCAGCGACTCATGTGGACTTGCCTGGTTCAGTGGGAGAATTTAACAGAGGAACAGAAGTCCAATGCTCGTTCTCACACGAAGCAGTTGTTTCAAGACCGCAGGCAGGAGGTGCTGTCTTTCGTGCGAGGCGAGGACAGGACGGCCTTTGCACGAACACGTGCTTGTTGTGCCTTTGTACCTATATTGGAACAGAGCATCGAGAGACGTCATGCCATTTTACATCAACATCTGAAGTCTGCCCCGCATCATAGTGCGCATTTTGTTTCTTTATGTGAGCGCAAAGACGAAGTCCTGTCAGTGATTTCTGAAGGGAGAGGTGCGGAGCGCCTCGCCGAACTTTGTGAGTTCACCCGGTCGGCGCCACTGGTGGCTCAGTCTCTAGGTTTGGCCCGTCATGAGGATTTTGTTTCCTATTTGAATCCCGAGAATGAATCCTTATCTCTTTCTACTCCGCATTGCCTGGTTGCTGCAGTGGTGTATCGGTGCGATTTACGCACCCAGTACACAAACCTTCCAGCCTGTGACAAGAAACCTTACAATCCTTGGGTCTTGCCTGTGCAGAACCAGCGCCCGGCTTTGATGGATGGTGATGATGCTGCTGCGCCCGCAGGGTCCAGCGATCCTGCGCCAGGACAGGTGGAAAGCTGTGGCAGTGAGCACCTGCGCCAGATGCTTGGTTTTCATGCTTGGTCACATCTTAGAACAGGTGCAGGGCCCCGCGACTTCTTTTCCTTGACTCCGGATCAAGCCTTGCCAGTGAACAGTGACATGCTTATGGTGCCATTCAGTGGAGCCATCACAGGAAGTGGTAGCCAGGAGGAGCCTTCCAGGTTGCCCTTGAGCCTTTGTGATGGCCCAAAGGGGGTTGAAGTGCAGATGGAGTTTGCTGACGATGCTGGGGTGCCCGATGAGCCCAATGATCTTTCGGGTCTAGCCTTAGCATTGCCGGGGGCGAGCAACCCTGCAGAGCATGTCCCATTGAGTTCCCCCTCCTCTGGTTCCAAACCGCCACCAAGCCAGCCCGTGCTATTCCGTATTGTTTCTGGGGCCCCTGGACAGAAGAAGTTGGCTCAGACGGACCAAGCCTTGCAGATAGGTGGGGGTCACATGGCGGTAGAGCGTTGTGAAGTACACGAGCTTGATTATCCAAGGCGGCAAGTGTCTGTGTACATCAGCCACGGCGATTGTGAATCAGAGCTGTTGCAACGGCCTGCATCCTTCGAGAGCTGCCTAGCCTGGACTGTGTTACACACAAAGGCAGCATTTCGCAACGTGAGGATTTCGTCTGCAGCGCAAGGTGCTCTGGACGAGGTTCTAAAGGCCCGGGCTACAGGTGACTCTTCGGACAACCAGCAGGGGTCGATTTCAGTTGAGTGTTCATTCGGAGCATTACCAATCCCTGCTGTCTGGGCTGAAGGATTTGCAAGCAGTTGGTCTTGTTCAAGAATGGGTTGGTGATGATGGTTCATCAGAGTCAGAGTGGGCTTTGTCTTCAAAGGGCTTGGATGGGTTGTGCCAGGTTGCCGTGCTTCACGAACCTGTGTCCTTGCTGAGCCTACCAACAAGTCGCAGTGATGCCAAGCCTTTGGAACAGATGACAGTGCTGGAGTTAGTTATGCGATTGCAAGCTGCAGGTTTCCAACTGGAGGTGCGATCCACGGATCTTAGAGCAGAGCCTGTTCCCTTCAACGTTTCTTCCCAAAGGCCGAAGAAGTGGTATATGCGAGACAAAAGTTTGGATGTTTCCCGTAACTATCTTTTGGCACTACTGTCCCCAGATGTCATGCAGAAACATGGTCACGAGCAAGTCAGGCATTTGCAAAAGGCTACGTATTACAAGGAATTGTTTGTTGCCGTGGCCACTCGTCGAGTTGGCGCAAAGGCCAAGCTGTGTTGATGTTGGAGGATGCAGGAACCACTCATGATGCAGGGCAAGAGCAGGAGCCCACTGAACCTCGCCAACGCAAGCGTGCAATCCGTGCTATCGAGAACAGGGGCCCTGCTGAGTCTGATGAGCCCAGTGCTCCATCTGCCGCCGCGGCGCCAGCTGCCATTGCTGACGCTCCAGCTCGTGTAGGTGGGCCGGGCCGTTCTCGTCAGGTTCATGCCAAAAGCTTTCGTTGGGGTGCCGCTATGTTCACGTACAAGGAGCCAAATGCGTATCAAGTCAAGTGCCCGCGCATGTGTACACACAGACACAGTGCTGGCCATCAGACATCATGCACGAAGACACGATCGTTTGCCTCGGGCAGTGCCGAAGCCGAAGCTTTGGTGATTCGTGAATTGAAATACTGGGTGAGCCAGGCAAAGAGTTTCGCGTCCAGAACAGATCATATGAAGAAATGCAAGTTTGAATCTCCTCCAGATGATGCAGAGCTGGAGACCTTGAAGATCGCAAGTGATTATGAGACTGAAGATGAGAATCTTCGTCCTGTGGTGAAGAGGCGCAGACTGAAGAGCAAGCAACCTGAAGCTGTGGGTGCAGGTGCAGCCGCAGCTGCAAAAGCACCGGCACGGGCAAAGGCAGCAATCAAGGCGAAGGCGAAAGCGAAATCCCGGTCAGCTGCTGCCGCTAGTGCAGGGCCGCGAAGCTCGAGCAACAGCAGCAGCAGTAGCAACAGCACCAGGTCCAGTAGCAGTAGCACAAGCAGCAGCAGTAGCTCCAGCTCCTCGTAGCTGCTCCGCAGGTGGTCATAGCCTCAGTGTCCCCTCGCAAACAGACATGCTACTGGTACGTGTGTCCGTGGGTCGTCCCGTCTTCCCCGTGCCTCGCCCGTTCATTCTCCCATAATAGGCCCTTAATAGGCTTTACTAAATGTACATCCTGAAACCAGCGTCTTTCTCAGGCTGTGCGATGGTATGGTTGACTGCCGCGGCTCTCAAGCGGGATGAGGCCTGGCGTTCAGTGTTGTGCAGACAGCAGTCACACTCCAGTCATGCAGGGGGTTCTTGAAGACTCTTGAGTTTCAGTTGATTAGAAGAATTGTTTCCGAAGCGAGTTAGATACGGGGGTTCACGAATGCGATTTGCCATGCATGTGACCCAGAACAGACCGTACATCCTCAATCCAGCATGTTTCTCAGGCTGTGCGTTGGTGTGGCTGGCTGCCGTGGCACTGAACCTTTATGAGGCCTGGCATCCTGTGATGTGTCGACTTAGACACACTCAACTCATGTGGGGGGTGCTTTTGTCTTAGCAGTCTCTTCCGTCGAAAACCACAACCGACCATATCATTGGTCGGTCCAGTCGTAATCTCCTTGACTTCTCTTGCTGCAGGATCTGTGGCTGCTCTGGGCATAGGAATCGCGACACGTGTGCCCGGCGCTCAGCCGCAGGCAGTGCATTTCAAGCCTTTTGCACCTCCTATATTAGGCCGCCAATAAATCGCTAGTAGAGATTTATTGGGGGCCTAATATAGGAGGTGCAAAGTTGGGCGGCCCAGGTTGTTTGGGCCTCTTGGGGACGTTGTGGGTCGGCATCTAAAACAGGCTCTTCAATTCTGTTGACACCAGTGAATCACTTTGTCACTTCTCCTGCTTCTTAGGGGCTTTGGGTCTTGGGGTCAGTTTGGGTTGCTGTTCCGCCCACCGCGGAGGTGAGACCACGGATCAGCAAATTGCCGGCTACAGCTGGAAACGGCCCGGTGCTCAGCAAAATGTGCATTGAAACCATTTTCGCCTTGGTTCTGGTTTTGGCGGATTGGAATCGAGCTGGGGCTTGCAAAGCGGTCCTGGATGAAAGTTTAGGATTCCTGGCCTGGGCTTCTGGACCCGCCTGGACTCCCCCTCGACTCCCCTCGACTCCCCTCGACTCTCCTCGACTCTCTCCCTCTTGCCTCGGCTCTTGCGGGTCTCCGTCCCTCGACTCCCCTCGACTCCCCTCGACTCTCCTCGGTTCTCCCGGCCCTCCCCGCGACCCTTGAAAATCCCAGCTGACTGCCCAGGTGTGCCTTTGCGTGGCCAGCAGCGGCCCTGGAGGGTTTGGCAGGTTTTGGGGTGGTCTGGGTGTTTTGGAATAGTTTTGGTGGTTCGCTTGCCTTTTTTCGGGTCCCAGGGTGCTCCCCATGGCCTCCAAACCAGGTGTTCTTTTTCTTTTGAAAAAGAACGCCAAATGAACTTTGAATGAACGGCCGTGCGTTGGCCTTTTTCGGGTCCCAGGGTGCTCCCCATAGCCTCCAAACCATGTGTTCTTTTTCTTCTGAAAAAGAACGCCAAATGAACTTTAAATGAACGGCCGTGTGTTGGCCAAAGAAAGGCCCCACAATGACGAAGAACGGACCCAGGTGAGCTCCTATAATAACATGGGGCACCCAAAAGCATTCTCGAGTGTAGCTGTTGTCTAGGTAGGTGTTGGGGCTTTGGGGTTTTAGGGTTTGGGGTCTCCGCTAGTCCTCGTGTTTCTTTGAGTGTAGTTGAAGGGTCTAGGTAGGCGTGGGTTTAGGGTCTCCGCTGGTGCTTGTGTTTCTTGTGTTGGTTTCATTAGGAGTCTTTGGCTTCCGGTCATCCGCAGTAACCTAAGTTTGCAGTGTGCATCAGTGTGCAAGAGTCCTCGGCATCTAATTTGTGCAGCATGTAAGCCAAGAAACCACGTGGGGCATCAGCAGGTTCTATATCCGAGGCCGCAGGGCTTATGTCGACAGAGGCTCAGCATTGAAATTATGTAGCAATGTAGTAGCGCTGTAGCATGTCAGAATATATGACTGGAGAAGCCCTCACGACCTGAGCAAAGATCAGGACTTCTTATCAATGCTGCAGGTTTCAGCTGTACTGATTGGTCTCCACGCAGGAGAGGCAAAAAGCCGGGGTTGCAAGGGGCAACCGCTCCAGTGTTTTATCGTTGGAGTGTGGAAAACAAACATCTGAAGCCTGACCTTTTGTTCTGGGAAAACTCAGCACATGACAGCGGCTTTGGGGGATGATTTTGCCCACTACTATGCCGAGATGAGTCCTGACATTTTGGGGTGGCCAGCGTCAAGACCGAGACTGTTCGGTGTGTCAGTTTTGAGATCTACTTGTTCGTTTAGTGGCAGCACCGAAGAGTTTCTTTCGTGGTTTATGAGGGCGCCGCAGCTTGACGGTGACATCTTCTTTCGAGCCGGAGAGGAAGAGATCAAAAACATGATGCAAGAACTTGCCGCAAGTCGCGGGCATGGTCGCGTGGAGAATGCGACTGTCAACATGGCAGTTAGCCCCAGCGCTTATGTGAACATCGGCAAGTACGAGGCCCTGCAAGAGAGCCGTGCGGACATTCGCTCTGGAGCTTTCCTTGGTGATCTAGATCAAAACCCCGAGTACAGTGGCTGCGGTTCGTATGTCCCAAGCTGTCCCACTCACAGCAGCATTTACAGCCTGCGAAAGAAGAGGTTGATGTGCGGCCAAGAAATGCTTCTTGTCATGGGTGCTGTGGCTGCACATTAAATGTTGGAATCGCAGAAGTCTTTGGGTTTCGCGCGATGGTTTTGATTCATTGCTTTGATGTGTCCATTCGTTGTGTTTGGTTGCGCTGCAACACAGCTCTTCCATGCAAGCAAGACTTCGTAATCTCTTTGCATCGTGAGCTTTCGCGGTGGAGTCTTGCTGGCAGGTGAAAACTTATTGGTCGAAGGGTCGCCTGCCGGGCCATCAACGGCAAGAATGCCCAGAAGTCGAGTCGCGGATGCAGTCCGCAGTCTGAGTCAGAAAGACATGAAGCATCTGGCTGGGAACTCGTTTCATCTGGCCTTGTTTGGTACCTTGGCCATGTATGTCTTGGCCCGTGTTGAGAAGCATCCGAAAAATGTTCCGATGCCGGTCATGAAAACAGAATACGGTACAGCTCGCTCTAGCACTGACTTGAGCCTTGACGAGGCAGCCAGCAGCCAATGAAGTTTTGTTCTGAGCATAGCTTTCTTTCGATTCGCCGGTCCTTGCGAGTCTTTTGCGTGACTTGTGCAGGGGCAACAAAAAGCCTTGTTTCAAGAGCTCGCTTATGTGAGACTGGTGGAGTCAGTTTGCTGGCACGGCAGGATTCCTGGTGCCGCAACCGTAACACTTGCTGTGACACTTGTCTAGATTCGCCGCACCTAGTCTTTTTGCTGTGTCGGGGGCCCTCCTGCCTCTCTGGTGACTAGTTCACTTTTGCAGTGCTGCAGTGCTGCATACTCCACACGCACAAGTCCTGTTGCTCAGCTCCATGGCAACTGAAGCTGCGTCATCAGGGGCTAAAGCGGCTGCAGATGACTTGAAGATGCAGTTTCTCTCGGAGCAAGAGGATGATGACGGCGACATGGAGGAGGGCGCCGAAGACGACCACGTCCAAGAGCCCGATGACGAGGAGCTGGACGATGATCTTCTCGACGATGACGGTCCCTTGAATGCCGACCCCAGCCTATGCATCTGCTGTGCCTAAGAGCCCAAGGTCGAGAGATCCAGCTATGGCAAAGAATGCAAAAAGGCCTACAACAACATCGACAAGCAGGAAGCCAAGGAGACCCAAAAGAAGGGAGAGCGGTGGCAACGATGGCAAGAAACAAAGCGGTGCGGCGGTGCAAAGTTGAACGCGATCATCATGAGATACCCCGACACAGTGGAAGCTTCCAGAGGCTCGGGTGTAAAGAGGGGCAAGTTTGATCTGGCTTACCACTTTGAGCAGATGGATTCCGTTGCCAAGGTTGGGAGTGGAGAGAAGCTGGTCTACATGCCGTTCTCGAAATGGTGCAAGCACGGGCCGAAGGAGCTCGGGCTGGACATTCAGGAGACGAAGCAAATGTGGCTGAGGAAGAAGAAAACATTGCCTCAGAGTCAGCACAGGAAGACGAGCAAGGGCGTCCTCCTTCTCCCCATGCCATATGAGATCTTCATTGTTGGCGAGAACTCCACCGAGCATCGGAAGGGCATGCGCCTGGAAGGACAGAAGCACAAGAAGCCATCGGCTGAGCAGATTCAGAAGCTCGAGAAGCATGTTAACTCCGGGCACCTTGGATTCGGAGATGAGGCCTTCTCGAAAGTGGGCGGGAGGCAGTTGCTGAACCATGTGCATTCCGGAGGTCCCTTGCTTTTTGCCCCAGATGGTGATTCTGTGTATGGTGCCGGTGAGAACTTCCGCGAGGATATGCTCGCTGCTTGCATGAATTGGTTGCGTGGTTATATCATACCGAGCTTGCTGGTAGAGTTGCGCACATGTGGCAGGCAGAGTCCCAATGCTTCGGTAGGTCGGGGAGAAACCGGTTGAGAGGTGATAGGACTATCTAGCGGCCTGGTGCGTGCGCGCGCCTGGTTCACGAATGCGACTCATGCTGCGACTTGCCATGCATGTCTGAGGCTGCTGCTGCTGCAACCCCTCCCAGATCTACCAAGCGGAGGTTGGCCCACGCGGGCGACGACAGTGCTGAGAAGGAACCCCAAGTCAAGGACGAGCGTGCTGAGGAACAGCAGAATAAGAAGATCAAGAAGAAAGCCTATGATGTCGCGGCCAATCGGAACGGCCTTTTGCTGAAGGTCGGCAATCAGCTCAAGAAGGCCGTGGAGGACCAGCTGGCGACGGCGGTGAAGGAGTGCGATGAGAACTTGCAGAAGATTAAGGACACTTTTTCAGGCAACGACTTGAAGTTCTTCGACGACAATGTGGCCACGGTCCATGCGCGGCAGGAGATTGCAAAGGCTCTGCAATCCCAAGAGCCCTCTGGCACCGTGGACCTTCGGAACATCATTGCACAGCAGAAGGGCGAGAAGCGGCTCAGCGTTGACGACATCGATGAGTTAAAGACTCTCCGGGATGCGGTCCAGTTTGTGGAGGATCAGGCGAGAGGCGCCGAGACCGAAGATGGCATCAAGCAAGCCGGGCAGCTTCTGAAGGAGACCATTGCAACTTTCAAGCGTGTGGTTGCTGCTGTGAATCGTGCGGCTGCCGACCTCAGGCGTGCTGGGGACCAGAAGGTGAAGAAGGCCGAAGCAGATATCGTGAGGAAGCGCAAGCAGGACGAAGCAAAGCAAATGAAGGACCTGAAGGAGTTTCAGAAGAAGATGAAGCAGGGCAGCGGTGCGGATGGCCCTTTGCCTGGACTTTGGGTCACTGGGCCAATGACCGAGAAGTTGTGCCAGCCTTTGCTTGTCTACGAAAGCTTGGATGCTCTGAAGAAGGAGTTCAAGGTTCCGGGAAATATCGGTTTGGGCCGGGTTTAGTCTGCTGCGGCTGTGTTCTTATGTAGCAGGCGGATGGTCAGTTGCACGACGGCAAGCCCTACATTGTCAAGTTCAATGCCACCGGCAACATCAAGACCGAGCTGGATAAGGGTTCCGTGAAAGGCTTTCTTCAAATCTTTGAGACGCAATTCCCTCTCAGCAAACAGGCCCGTGAGAAGGGCCGCGTGCAATCAGTGCAATCCATCATGAAGGTGGAGTCGACGAACAAGATCAAAGAGCTGATGCTTGAGTTTGTCTCCAGCAAGAGCGTGTGCTTCCAAAGCGCATCTGGCCCGGGCCAGGATGCTGCTACCAAAGGCCCAAACTCAGACTTGGATTGCTTGCACACTTACGGTTTCACGAGCAGCATGCGCTTCAGCGGCACAGAGTACATGGGGATGAGTGCCCTCCGATACTCTGTGAAAGGCGATCGCGAGGTGGTCATCGTGAATGCAGCCGAGATGTGGCCCATCGTGCGCGAGCACCATGCGGAGGAGGCCGCGAAGCTGAGTGCGGAGAAGAACGTCACAAGCTTTATGGGTGAGAAGCTCATGTACGCCCAGGTCGAGGATGCTTGGGTGCAGGCATTGTTCAAGGAGGAGTCCGCGATCATGTGGAAGGGCATTGTACCGGAGGGTTCGTTCTTCGTGCCCGCCGGAGTGCTCTTGCTGGAGCGGAGCATCAACAACCGCCTTGGCATGGGCCTCCACATGGCATTGGACGACACGTCAAAGTGCTCCGTGAACAACCTCGATGTCCTTCTTGCGGCACACATGATGTATGCAGATGCCAATGACAGGTTGGCGGTTCGTTGGCGAGACGTGCTCAGCCGTGCTAAGAAGCCTGCGCAAGCAGCCGGCACGGTGGCACCACCAAGCTAGATGACCCATGTGCAGTGTCATCACCTAGCATTTTTGTGTTGTACCAACAGCGGTGCAGCTTGGAACCTGAACTTGTGTTAGGAGCTGAGAAAGCTTTGACTTTGCATAGCAGTCGCAGACACTCCGTTACTCCACAGGTGTTCTTGCCCCATGTATTTCTCGAAAGCTTTGGGGAAGCTCGTTGTTTGGGTGTATCTTCGCGATTCCTTCCCGAATCGCTGAGCTTTGAAGCCGAGTCGCTCTGCCTGCTCAGCTTGGCAATGATGCGAGGCGCACAGAACTCTTGCAGCTGCAGTGTTAAAGAAGGTTTGTCGTTGCCGTGCTTCCTCTTCGCTGCACACATGCGCGGCTGCACGACAGCAGATGTTAGAGTTCAACGAAACTCCCACTCCCACGCCCCAGCTCCCAAAAATCCCAAACCGTATCTTATCGCAAAATCACAAAAAAACTGGAGTACTAATGAGCCTTTACCACTGCCGAGGTCAGTACCTGCATCAGTGCTGGATCGGCGCAGCGAAAATGCTGGGCCTATGAAGGGTTTAAGGTTTAGGTTTTAGTATGGTTGACATTAACTAGGCCGAACCCCAGCCCGAAGCCCTTATGACTCCAAATTGTCAAGAGTCTAGGAGTCCAGATCTCCTGGCTTCTCTCAGGGGGGGCGTCTAGCTAGCTAGACCTGTGACAGTTTTGCTTACCTTTGGGTTAGCGCTACCTGGAAAGCCAGTAGTCTGTATTTAGGGGCTACTTTGAGCCAATTATGGGCTACTTTAGNNTATGGTAGTCTGTTATTTTGCGCTACTGGGCTTTTCAGGTACGCATAATTAAAAAGCGGAAGCCTCAATCAGACAGGATTGCAAATGCAGTAGTTGCGTCGTCTTTATTTGGCGTCATATATCCTGCCTCCAAACCTTACACCCTAGAGACCCTACAACCTACGACCCTACATTAGAACTGGCTCAAACGGCTCAAGCGTTGGTTTAGGCCACAAGTGGCTTGAACGCCAAGCTTCGCTACAATCTTGCACCCGTGGCTATCCTGTCATTCTCCAACGCTCTGTTTCAGATGTTCTTGCTGCTCACAGGGCAAGATGAACACTTGCAATCAGACTGGGTTGCAGGGTTCGTGGTGACCATGATTTGTCGTCCCCGACGAAAATTGCTAAGCACAGGAGACCCCGGAAAACTGCCCACCGAGTCGACAGGAGTTGCAGCCACGATAGCACTGATGGGAGTCAAGAGAAGAATGATGATGATCATGATGGTGAGGGTGATGAGGAGAGTCGTGATACTCATGTGAAGTGCTGAGCAGAACTCCGTTCCTGGGATTGGTGCAGGCTGAGTTGGGCACTTGCTTTGCACTGGGCCCTGCCTCTGAACGATCTGCACAATTGGGCTCTGCACCTGCTTCTGCACGGGGACGTCCTCTGCAGGTGTGGTGGTCGTTGCAAATTGCACACGGGGCTCCCCGAAGCGGGCTTCAATAACGCCCTTCCTAGGCTTCAGGTCTCAAAATCCTGAACCCACCCTCCCACCTGCCACAGTCAGCAATCAGCAACGCTGGCCTGTGGTGGTTGCATAAAACATTGAAACTGTGGCTCTTATTGTGCTCATGTAGCGATACCACACATTTGATGAGGCATCCAGGTCTCGTCGCATTTGGGGCCTATCAGCGGTTCGTGTTATGAGGGCTTTACGAAGATGCCATAGTGCCCGCGAGACGTGGAAGAAGCTTCATATTGCGTCGTTCTAGCCTCTTTCAACTCCTTAGTCTGGCAAGTTGCTCAGTCGATAATTTCGGCTTTGAGTTAAGGGCCGTTGAACGAGAACCCAACCAAGGTTCTCATGAGTGGAGAGTCTGAGAGATGGAGCTGTGGATCTTGGACTAGGCTTTCGGAACTTTGGGTGTCGGGTTTAGGATCGGTTTCGGATCTTAATGTCAATCCTACCAAGACCCTGGGGTTTAGGGTTTGCGGCCATATACATTCCCTTATAGTGAAGCTGCCCAAAATGCAGGGATGAACTTGTAAAATGCTCATGCTTACGTTCTGCTTGGCCCTTCCATAACGATACGCGTTTCAAGCGAGCACGAAGAACCCCCACTCCATACCCTCTTTGGAGAAAAAGAACGAACTCCATGACCCTACGCCCTAATAATGGTTCAAAAAGCACAACAGAACCTAAAAGCGAAGCCTTAAAGTGCTAAAGTCCAGGCCCCCAAGCCCTCATCGCCAAGACCCGAAATCATCGGAAGGAGGGCAGTTCTCGCAAAAGGGTCCCGTTGGGCTCCCAAATAGCATGGCTCCATAAGAAAAACAGGGACCCTTACGGGGACCCTCATTTCGAGAACTAGCCAGCTAATACTCAAGGAGACGATACCCTAAACCCTCGAGGCCTTAAGCCCGAATTTAGAGAACTACACAGGAGGTGATCGTGGTCGATGATGGGTCAAACCCACCGCTAGAGCAGCTCTTCCAGCAGAGCGAGAATAAATGGGCCCAGGAAACCGACCGGTTCCGGTGAATATGAGTGGTTTTAGGTTTAGGGGTTTCGTGTTTATGGGGGTTAGGGTTCTGTTTAATATCAGTGGCCCTTATACTTGGAATAGTTTTGCTGTTTGTTGTTTCAAGTTTGGAGGGTTGTATGATACCGTCGAGATACGGGTGAGAAGGGGCCCCGAGGAATACGGGCCCCTGTATTAAACAAGTGTTGAGGGGTTTTGGTGTAAAGGGATAACGTTTTCGGAGTACGGTTCAGGGAGTCGCATTCAGGAGTTTACAGCATAGGAGCGTGCGGTTCAGAGTGTAAGGGGGGTTTACTGTAGGGGGGTTTACGGTCTACTTTCGGCTTCAGGGCGCCTTTATATGACATAACCTACCTGAATCTGTATTTGCACAGAGTACGACAGAAGTCCCAGATAAGCGGGCTGCATGAAGCAGGCTTGCGAAGCAACATCTGGACGGGAAAATTGGACATCGGGTCTGATGTATATTTCCTTGTGACTATAAAAGGAATTCGTAAGAAGGTGTTTGAATCCTTCGGGCTTCTATGACAATTCTAGTACTTATGACCGAAGTGCACGTAGCTTAAGATGAGTGCAGTCGCCTAGCATGCAGTCGGTGCCCTGCAATTCCAAGAAGTATTCTCCGGGTCAGTGGTTCAGTCTAGCTTGACTAGAATTTTGCAGCGGCGCTTTTTGACAATGTCTAGTCCCCGATCCACTTGCTGACACTCCAGAAAACTCCCTTTCCTTCTGCCCCAATCGCAGCACTATTCTTCCTCTCCCAGTGTCCGATTCTATGGTAAAGTTGGTGGGTTCGCTGTAGCCCCTGGCTCCTGGGCCTCAACTAAATCCCTGAACGCCTCCACCTCGGCCACAGCCCCTCAAACGCAACCAAAACTCTCACAAGCCCAACCGCCAGACCCTGGGGGCTTAGACTTGGCGGCTTTTGTGTGGTTTTTAAGCCCCGAATCCCTCGATCTTGAGCTTGCATCAAGATTCAGAGCAGGACCCGCAATGTAAGGGAAAAGTCCGATTCCTGCGCCATGCGCCTCGGCCGGTCTCTTTGGGCTCTGTAAAAAATATTCTACGGACACAACACCAGCGGGAAGATGTGTCGAGGGTGACCCGTGTGTTGCTAGTAGGGTCTTACGCACTAAACCTGGCAAAACCCTCGATCCCAGTGGTTGCGGATTCGAGTTTGGAAGGTTAGGGCTGCATTTGGTTGGTGCTCAAGGTTTGGGTTTGTGGGGGCTCGGGACCTTAGACCCGAAACCCTTAAACCCCTAACCCTTAAACCCCTAACCCTTAAACCCCTAACCCTTAAACCCTAAACCCTTAAGCCCTCAACCCTTAAACCCTTAAACCCAAAACCCTTAAGCCCTAAACCCTAAACCCAAAACCCTCAACCGGGTTTGTTGTTTTTTTGTTTTAAGCTTTAGCCTCTCAAGGTCGACGTACAGGCTTCCAGGTGGGGTTCGCGGGGTTGCGGCTCAGGATTTGGGGAGAGTTTGGGTGAGGTTTAAGGTGGGGATTTGGCGATTTTAGGGTTGCGTGACGTGAGGCAGGAGGTTTGGGGGGGGGATTCTGCATGGATTGCAGGGCTGCTTCATGAGGTAAGGCACCCGAAACTCTAAGATGCGGGATTGGAGCCTCAGTTCGCCTCAATATTTGGATGAAATCTCACGGTTTTGAGTACCCTTAGAGGACCGGTGGCTTTAAGATTTGGCGACTTACGTCGTCAAAACTCCAGTGTTGTGGGCTTTGGGGCTTTCGGGTTTGAGCGCTTTTGGGCTTGGGGTCTTGGGCCCACTGAGTCGCGACAAGGGGGAACTAGCTGGCTTCCGAGCATTGAGGGAAGGCAAATTCGGTTTTCAGCTTCCTGGATTTTGTGCGCACTTAGAGTCTCTATCGTAGCGGCCAGTCTGACATAAAACCACCATCTTGTCTAAGTGCTGAGAGAAATCTGTGGCAATTTCGGTAGTTTGGCATGTGGCAACACTGTTCTAGGCCAGATTCTAGGCGAAGAAGCACGCAGCCTTGCAAGAGCACCGAGCCCGGCAACAGTTCTGAAGATCCTAGAAGCACCCTTATGAAACCTTTACAACACCTTGTAAAGTCCGCCTGAAGCCCTTGAGCCCTCACCAGGCCCGTATGCGGGGCCCTAACCCCTAAACCGTAAATCCTAAACCAGAATTCCATACACATCCCTGAACCCCAAGCTGCCCTGCTGGGGAGGAAACGACAACGGGGCTCATGGCCGCCAAGCTCACCGGTGGCCGGGAGGTGAGGGCGTAGGGTCGAAGCGGTTAAGTTGAGGCAATGGAGATTTTCCGGGGGTTTTCGGGTTTTGGGGTTTGTGGGGTTTTAGGCTTTTGAGGTCTTTGGGTTTGTTGGGTTCAGGGTTTGGAGTCTATTTGTTCTCAGGGTCAGGTTCGGTCCTATTATGAGGAGTTTTGACCCTCAATCACCACCACCACGATAACGGCGATGTTTTACGACGG